AAATCATCCACTATTACTATCATTTAGTTTAGCTACAATTTGTTACCAAACCCAACCATATTTCACGTTTCGGTTATTGTCAGAATAGATAAAATCGAACTAGTAAATCTCTGTGGGAACGATGCTTGGACTCTAAAATCCATTTTATTACTTGAACGATCCGTACACTTACGGTAGTTTTTACTCGAAACATATTTTCGATGAACACAGGCCTCTCGACGATGGTTTGCAAAACTTTCCCAAGGTCTTCTTGATTATGGATTTACTCAAGGCAATTCTGATTGCTCACTTTTCATTAAGAAAACTACATCCTCTTTCATAGCACTACTTATATATGTAGATGATGTTTTACTGGCTAGTGATAATCTAACTGAGATACGGCAACTCAAGATTTTTCTACATGATATGTTTACAATCAAGGACTTAGGACAACTGAAGTACTTCCTAGGATTGGAAGTGGCCAGATCAAAGTCTAGAATTTCAATTTGCCAAAGAAAGTATGCTTTGGACATACTTAAGGATACAGGTCTTACAAGTTCTAAACTAGTTGCATTCCCAATGGAATCCAACCTTAAACTTAGTGCAGAAGATTCAGATCTTTATGAGGATGCCTCAGGGTACAGAAGGTTGATTGGCAGATTATTGTATTTGACAATTACAAGGCCTGACTTGGCTTATTCTGTTCAGGTTCTTAGCCAGTTTCACTAAACCTACATTGGTTCATCATCAAGCTACAATATGTGTGCTCAAATACTTAAAGGTAACACAAGGTCAAGGATTATTCTTCTCCTCTTCCTTATACTTAAAGTTGAAGGCTTTTTCTGATAGTGATTGGGCATGCTGCATCGATACCAGAAGAAGTGTTGCAGTCTATGCAATTTTTTTAGGAGACTCATTAATCTCTTGGAAATCAAATAAACGAGCCACAGTTAGCTACTCATCTACAGAAATCGAATACAGAGCTCTTGCAGCCACCACATGTGAAGTCCAATGGTTGCTATATGCTCTTCAAGATCTTAATGTTGATCATTCTCAACCAACTATGCTTTACACTAACAGCAAGTCCGTTTTATCCATTGCAACCAATCATGTACAACATGAAAGGACCAAACATATTCAAATATATTGCCATCTTGGTAGAGAAAAACTGCAACAAAATGTAATCAAGCTCTTTTACATCCCCTCAAGGTTACAACTAGCAAACATATTTACAAAACCTCTAGATCATTGCCTTTCCATGACAATTTATGCAAGATGCGCATTATAAATATACATGCTCCTCTTGAGGGGGGAGATGGGGTCTTGGAGTATCGCCTTACAAATCGACAACATGGAGTTAAAGAAAAAAAAAGAAAAAGCAAAGACGTTTGAAGTTAGTTCTAGTTAGTTAGAGGAATTAGTTAATTTATGTTGTTTTTGTTATTCAATTTGTTGGGCTCCTTCTATAAATAGAGCTCGAG